CTACTACTACTAGTGCTACTGCTGCTGCTGCTGCTGCTGCTGCTACTACTACCACTACCACAGTTGTAGAATTGGTGGTGGAAGTAAAATTAAAGGCAGAAGTAGAAGTAGTGGGTAGGAGTAGCAGTAGCAGTAGCAGTATACCTGTACCAGTATAAGCAGCAGCAGCAGCAGCAGCAGCAGCAGCAGCAGCGGGGAGAAGTATTGTGCTCCGACCGTTGACCTGTCTCGGGCTTACGAAGACGCCTTCATGGAGCATGTCAACCCAGGGACGATATCCCTGTATCCTTTTTTGAAGTTGCTTTCGATGACCTGAATTAAACGATTAAAGTTCGTGCAATGCTCCCAGTTCAACCACCTCTTCGGCTTCGCCCTTCACCTCCGAAAGCACTGTGCCGTACAGCTCCCGGTCGTCGTAGAACGTGTCCTGGCCGCCGTGCTTCACCTACTGTGAGTATCTGCTAGACTCGACCCTGCAACTGCCAATGTGATACGAAGATTCCAGAATCATGCATTCGCCCCAAACTTCACGTCGTGCTGGCAAAAAAGATCGATCCTGGCTAACACTTTGACCGTCGGCGAGCTGGGAGACGTAGAAATCCACCTATGGCAGGAAAGTCAATCTGCGTCTGTGTCAAACTTTCGGGATCTTGTTCCGTGGGCTATCTCTGTCATTGCTGTCATTCAAGATACGCCTCGTATTCCCAGCCTTCCGGGCGGCAATCCCAGCAATTTCGTCCCAGGCGCACCATCACGAAAGTCTTCCGGAAGGCTCGTTATGGCACCAGACCTCAGTCGATTCTTGGCTGCCCAACCTATGTGTGCGGAACACCCCGGAAGCGAAGCTTTGCCGCCGCAGCACCGGAACCGATCCTCCACCTCACGCAGCCGCTCCTGTCGAAGCCCTTATGAGGGTCAGGAGTTGTTTACCTTTTTTGGGTGTTGTTGTCCTTGTCTTCCTGCGGGGTGGCGGAGGACGTGTAGAGTGCATGCACATCTCTTGACAAGAAAGCTCCCTGAACCCACCCAAAATAAAAGAGGCTCTCAACTGTTGTACATACGCTGGGTTATAAGTGCTGCGCTTGGGGTTCGAAGCTTACGCGTCCATTTGCCAAATGCCAGTACTTTTGGGCTTGGAAGCAATATACAGGTTGAAAAACCACGCGGTGTACGGCAGATTGCCCAAGCCTTGATCCGAAACAGCGGTGAAACTTGCATGGTGCAATTGCCTAAATAGGACAAGGGGGGTTCTGGGAACTGAATCTAACTATATATTATATAACTGAATCTCCCCGGATCTCGTGCTCGTGGGCTCCTCGTGCCAGGCGTGCGCGTCGCGGAGCCAGGGCTCGGCGCCCGCCGCCTGGCCTTGGAGCGCCTGGGCTCGTGGATGCTCGCGGATGCGGAAAGAGCTGAAAGGTGTGTGTGTTTTTTTGTCGACGGCGACCTAGGCTTGTTTTGGGCCTGCAGCTGCTTCTCCAGCCATTTCATCTCCGGAGGCGTCCTGGGCCGCTCTGGAAGAGACCAAGAAAGCGCCGACGGGAACCCGACCTCTGAGGATTTTGCTTCTTTTCAGTTGATGCCGCGACCGCCTTCGCTTTCGGCATCACGTGAAGGGGCCTGCGGCCTGGCCATCCCAGCCCACACCCACAGAGCATGTCGCAAGTCTGGTCATCTTGGGGAAACCCGGCCCCTATTACCCGTCTTGCTTCCTGCCTTGCAGCGCCAGCGCCAAGCAGTCAATCAGGGCATGGCACTCAGTCTGGCAGCTACTCCGCCACTAGCGCTTCTACTAGAAAGCCGGTTGCACTTGTCATGCGCCACACGAGGTGTCAGCCTGGCTGCCTGTGTTGAAACATGCCAATGTCCATGCCTGGACCTCTGCAACGCAGAGACACGGCAGATGTCTTTGCAACTGAGAACCCTAGCATGCGACATGGGATCTTGTCAGTCTCAGCTGGCACTAACTTATGTGGTAACTCCGAAGCATGCTACCCACCGCTACCCTGCATGCTACCCATCACGAGATCGCCGGCAAAGGCTTCTCTGCCATCAATAACCACGCAGCTGAAGAACCAGGGTGCGTCAAGACGGGCATGTACAGGTCAAGATGAAACTTGGGGTGCAGCTTTCGTCGAAAGGTTCGTGGCAGTGAGCGCAGGTTAGCCCCTGCAGAAGGGAGAAGAGAGCCGCTGTTGAAATCGAGAATGCAAAGATCGTGCTACTTCAGAGTGCGGAAAGTTCAGGCTCTAGGGATGGAGACATCGCATCATTGCACTCAGACCTTGGGCGTTCCTTCAATGATGGCAGACGGTTTGTCCGGGTTGAACACGAAACCGAAACTTCCATGACTCTGAAGGCAAATGATGGTCCTTGACCGCAACACAACATATCCCACACTTGTGACCAGCGGTCCTTTGTGAGTAAGCGTACCTAGGCCTAGGTGTTGTGGCCCTCCACGAGTCTGGTGGTCCTGCCTGGAGCTTTTGGCAAAGCAGGCGGTAGAGCTCTCTCAGCTCCTTCCGGGGGTTGAGAGCAAACAGCTCGGCCTGGGGCTCGAGAGCCGCTTCAAACTGGCCTCCGCATCATCCTTGTCGCAGCGCAAGGAGAGCAGGCAAGACAAGGTCCTGGAGCTGATAAAACCCCCTCACCCCAAAGCATGAATGGCCGCAGCAAGGCAGATACATGAATTTTGTGCACGGACCGAATAGTGATTCGCCCGGGCCTAGCATCGGGCAGCCGAAAGTCGACATCGAAGGTTGCGGCCTCTGACGGCCTTCGAGCTGGCTAGAGAAGGAAGGGAACCGGAGCCAACCACAGCCATGTTTTGAGTCGACACTTTGCCCATCGTATCATATTGCTTTGACTGCGATCATTATTTGTGCTTGTCAGTCTCACACAATGATACATCGTTAACTACCTGTGTTCTGATGCTAACAATATTATGATTGAGCATTAGTAGCATCAGCCATTTCGTCAACGTCATATGTCGTAGTTGTGGTGGCCAGGTCGTAGGTTCTCTGTTCAATACCGACACAAGCAACATGTCTTGGGTCCTAAAAGCTTCTGCCAAACCTTCCAACCCCGGAGTTTTAAATCCTTCAACCATTACCACCATACTGTAGGTGGGGTCTTGAATTGTTCTTGAAGACATGATATTAGCCAACTGATGAAACCTTGCATTTCTACTGCCCTATCACCTCTGGAATCCCAAACATGTTCTTCGATTCTTTCTAACACTTTTCAGTCATATCTTGAACCTCCGCGGGTGGAAGATAAGTCTCATGAACAAGATATACCTCGAACTGTAAAACCTGAGAACTTGAAGCCCACACACTATACATCTTGATCCGTAAGCTCTAAATTGTAAAGCCTGTACTGTACAGTAAACCATAAACCAAACTTCTAAACCCTAACTTATAAAGCCTTAACCATGCCGCGGTAGCGCTGCACAGCGGGATCACTAGCCTAACGAGGCGCATTGCTACGGATACAGGGTCAAAAACCAAAGATCATCTATCTCTGGTGCGCAGGCAAAGTCTGTGGTTAAAGTTCGGCATGACAAACAGTTTCTAGTGCTGTTTCTGAAAGTCCTCTCTCAATGCTTTTTCTTTTGGCTTTTTCTTTTGATGTTGGAGCCAATGTCCATCTCGGAAACGAGTTGTGAACAAGAACTCCGCAAGCGCCGAACAGGCTAGCTTTCCTGAAGTTCGGCAGCGCTGAACATGATACCCACAGTACTGTCTGTAGCCCGATGGATGCCAGGCGGGCCTCCCGGTCTCCAGCATCATGGCAACCTGCGGGCTTGCCAATCTCGCAAATCTCACGAGAATCCTGCCGTCTCTCTCTGACTCTATCAAGTACCAGGTACCTTCACGGCAGAGACCCGGAACTCCGCGGTCAATGCGTCAAACTCTCCCAGGTCTGGGATCCTGGCAGGAGGTCACATCACAGTCTCTGTCTTCATGACGATGCTTTAGCTTCAACACAGACATGGCGGGGCGACATGGTCCGAAGGCGACGCCATGCATCGTGGAGGCGTGCATCCATCTGACAGATCCCAAGCACATGACTTGCAATAGGTCTAGGCTGAGGCCAAACAGAATGTTGAAAGGATCTCTTTTCGTACGCAGCCGACCAAGTCGACTGAGATGGACGCACATCGCGTGTGCACTGCAAATGCCATCAGGCAGAGGGCCAGCTGTCTGAGTTTGCCGGGGCATCGTTCCAAAGCTCGTAACCCAAATATCATGGCGGTGCCTGAGCATGAGGAGAGCCAGGGTGTCCGCCGGGCGTGATCTCTTGGAACACCGGTGGCCCAAGCGTGACAGCCGTGGCGCGGGGCTCCGATCGGAGCTGCGGCTGACCTGCTGGCGGGCCGAGCCCTGGGCCCCACTCCCTCTTAGGAAACCACTCCCGTCGGCTTCGCCATCACCCACAGAGAGATCATCGCCAGGTCGTGACCAGTGATGGCAACATGCTGGTTGCCGGGAGGCCGTAAAAGGTCTCTCGTCCAGCAACATTGGAAACGAAGGACTTCCTCGACCTTTGTCAGTCAGTTTCGCTCTTTTTGCACACCCGTGGTGTTTGCACGCATGTCAGCTTCATCAAGGTGTAGTCAACTTTCCAAGCATGCTTGGCAACTCATCTTCAACACACCAAGCAGCTCGAAGCAGCGTTCGAAGGTAGAAGCACGCATAGAGCCAGTACTCACGAAGGCTTCATGGGCTCAAGATTTCGGAGCTATGCCGCATCATAAGCCCAGCAGACCAGAGTCTGTCGCATTCCTGCTTCGACGGGGGCAACCTCGGCTTGGAGCAAGGCAGAACAGCAAATGTGCCTTATTATTTCGTGCGACCTCCAATACCACCAATTCCCGGCTCAGTGGCTCGATGCTCCACGGTCTCCGAAGGGAAAATGATGGCATCCCCCGCGAGAAGCCTGCGAAACCCAAACAAGCGCTTCGATCTTGATGAGGATAACCCCGGCCCGGAAAGTCTTGCAGAGCTCACACCGAATAAAAAAACTGCAGCTGAGGCACCCCGGTCGCACAATGCCAGTTGTGTTGAGCTCCAGGTCACCTGCCCACTTCAAGCAGCGCGAGCGAGATCGTCACACCCTCTTCACGCGCCACAAGATCCACAAGCTTAATGCTGGTAACTTTATGACAGATTATGACAGTTCGCGTTTCTTCTACTGCAGTCTTCAGAGAACTCAAGGGCACCTCCAGAAAAGTCACCAGGTGCCGAGAGCATCACGACCTTTAGGTGAGACACAGATTGGGATCGCAGGCAGTCACTTCTGTCGGCACTTGAATCTGTTGATCCACACATACTTCCAACTGAGCTGCTAGGGAGAGGCGCCGGGCAGGTGGCGGCGCCACATCTGGCTGGTCCTGGTGCCAATCCTTATCAGCCGGCTGGCTTCTGGCACGAGTCGCAGATTCAGCGTCAAGTCAACATGCCCGTCTCGGCTCAGACTGGAACGAAGTGATCCTCGGGGCCATAGACACAATACTGGGCGTCCTCCAAGATTTCCTGAGCTCTGGAAAACTCTGAATTGCGTTGGGCAATCTCAACCGCAGCTTGTGCCGCCTTTGCACCGGTTTTTAAAGCCAGCTGACAAGCTCCGGGAGCTGCCACCGATCGCTGACAGCCTCGAAGAGGCCCAGCAGGTGCTCCTCGCTCCCGCATGCTACATCGTCTGCTAGAGATAGAGGCATGGCTCCTCCAGCCAGGGCGTCTGCCGGACCTCTCTTCACACTTGAGAGAAAATGAATGTCTTCGCACCTCAACCTTGTCA